GCAGGAAGGAAGTGGAGCTGGTTCAGGTGGTGGTGCCCGGGGCCCGACGATTGAGGAAGTGGACTGAATAGTGCGAGTCACCCATTAATTAGCATCACGGGGCCCGACGATTGAGGAAGTGGACTGAATAGTGCGAGTCACCCATTATATCATTAGCATCACTCTTAATACACACTTATTTCTCTCAGTAGTCCTTTTTTAGAGTCCGGTTGGTTTGGGAGGCATATTGGCATTTCACGTACTCGACCACTGCTATGTTTAGGGAGTAACGCTACTATGTGTAATCGTGCTAGTAGGATTTTGATCGCAGTATTGTCCCTTCGTTGTGTGGTTTCGCTTTTCTACGATTAGAGGCAGCAGCATGAGTGTTGATGCTGTGCTTCACTGCCACAACTCATTTACTGGCTTTCAGACCACTGATAGGACAGTCCTTTCCGACACCGTAGGCTACTGTATTCTTAACCTCAGCCGACGCGCCCGCTTAAGGTGTGTTTTCTCGCTCTTTGGTTCATTTGATGGGCTGCTACAGTGCACGGGTTTCGAAATACTGGTGAGTAGCAGGTATCTGGGTGTAATTCCGTGACATGAGGTTGCATAGTCTCTTCCGCTCATTGATTAGGAAGTTGGTCGTTTTCGGTTTTCCGTTGGATATCTGTGATATCATATCTATTTATCCGGCACATTCTTGCAGACCTTAATGTTGCATTTCGGCGACAGGGGAACACGCAAAGGTGAGAAAAAAATGAACGACAGCAGAGTTCAGTTAGTTGACGTAGGCTTGGAAGAGTGACACCCATCCCGGAGGAGTGCAGGACAAGTATAGAATAGGAGAGGACTGGGGTAACCCAAAATCCCAAGTCTATAAGTGACGATAGTAACAGGGGCGAGTTGGCTCAGTTTTTAGAGCGCGAATTCACTGACCGGAAGGTCCGTGGTTTGAACCCGACCTCTGCCTTTCGACTTCCCCTATCTAGGCTTGGGCAATCTGCGGTATGCCATCCCTCGTGCTTCCTCCTGCTGACAGGGCAGTTAAGTGCCGAAAGGGTTCTACAGCTGAGTGATTTACGATGGTCACAGGAGGAGATGCAAGGAGAGGATATATGTTTCGGCTGGACATATGGAAGGTGTCCTAGGATCTTTAGAGGGTAGGGGTACAATTGACCTGGACCCAAGACGGGCAGACATCAGTGGCCTGCTGCGAAGTGCAGGGATTCCCGCACCATCATCGAGAGGGAAACACAAATCCAGATGAGGAGTATTTAAACTAGCATGGACCGGAGCATTGTGAAAGTTCACTGGAGGTATGGGGACGGAATGAAATTGAGCTAGGGCCAAAGTCACTTTTGCTGGGCCAGTAGCTTGCGCTGGATTCCGTTTAAATTACTGCTACAACTGTTGGTGTTAACAGTTGGAGAAAGACCAGAGAAGGGAGCATTAGGTTCACGAGGCACGGGCGCTTTGGGAGGAAGCCTTGCTAAGTTGAGGTCCCCATAGAAACTGGATCAAGATGACAGAAGTTTATGTGAGAGAGCCAGCGCGGCGGCGCATTATTTTAGGACTTCGGTGAATGCCCTGCGGATCCGGATCACACAGAGGGAGACAAGTTTTGCCATTTCGCCTATGGGGAGTGCGACAGTTTAGGGCAGTCAAATGCACGTTCTGTGGAGTTAGTTGGTGTGGATACCAGGGTTTACGGCGACTGTGTAGAGGCTGGTAAGCGCTCGAAACACGTGTTATGGCGTGAGATTGATGGGTCCATTCGAGTTCTATTGGGATATTGGAAGTGAATCACACTGCAGATCAGCCGCTCGTAGCCCAACAGTTTATTGTTCAAGATACTAGTCAGTAGGTCGCGGTTTTGAGACTCCCTGGAGTTTCCTAATGTGCGTATTGCCGGCGGTTTCCAATAAGGATTAAGCAGTTGTTCAGTGTTTATCTGTTCCCCAGCATAGGTCCGTTCCACCGACACTATAAAACCCCATTAAAGATTTTCAGTTTTCCTCACACTACTAACACCGCTGGAGAACATAGGCTTTTGTTTAATCATCGAATAGTGGGCTTATGTGTCTGACGGTGGTTGTGCTTCGCTTGGTCTCCATCTCACTTCAGAGACACTTTCCGTGCGGTGGCTTAATTGGGCTGCAAAGTTACCGTGGCGACGTATGCATGGTGTTCGTTTTCGGGTTAGCAGTCTGTGGATGCGTCCAGGGTACCCCGTCCTTACAGATGGAGTGTTGGTTGGGACGAGATGTTCAAATACTTGAAAGTATGAGACGACGTTTCCTTTTCAAGGTAGTATGGGCGAGATACTCTGGGTCGGCCACCTAAACGATTCTAATTTGTCCCTTAAAATGATTTTTCTCCATGGTGGCATGCGAAGCGCGAGGTACTTATTACAGGGACTTCTGTATTGCAGGAGTTCTCATGAAAGGACGGCTAGCCGCTCCTGCTCAATGACCGAAGATTGCTATCATGCCGCATTCGTTGGCAAAGATGAAGTGCAGGCATTGTGGGCGTTGGACAGTCTGTAATCTCGAGGAATGAGGGGATCTTGTGTCATCTTAGTGGTGTACTTGTATCCAGGAGGATGGGCGTAAAACCAGATTTGGGGATCGGAAGCGTACCCCAATCCTTGCCGAGTGGTTAAGACCCCACAGTATAAGGGGAGATGGGAGTGGTTTAGGCCATGCACTGATTGAAGGAGATAAGATAAAAAAGGGTTGTAGTCCGGTGATGATGGGGAGCGGTAGATAGGATCGATGAGTAGCACTTCTTGTTCCTTTGGGTGTGTCCGAGGGGAAAACAACTGAACGTATGTTTCATCGGGCTCTATTTGCGATTCTTAGTTGATTCCTACTTCCATTACCAAAAACAGAATCGTCAATGGGTTTTAAACATTTTCCTAACTCTAGTCCGCAACCGCGCTTCACTGACAGTGAAGCCATTAATCCTTTTCATTCTCTAGTCCGCGACAGTAGGCTGCCCAGATACACTCACGTGAAGCTTAATAGACGCTGTTTGCAGTATGAGATGCCGTTCGCGAGGGGGACTTAACCAATTGATATGATAATCACCTTCGGGATGGTATGCTGGTGTGATTTATTTTGCGTATGCGTTTGATCTGTCTCAGTGTACTTAAGACACGCACGTCGGGACTCTATACGTTGTACACCAACATACCAATCATGAAGAGTCATGACCGTCAAGCGGAAATCCGAAGGTAGTCAGGTGACCATAATCAGAGTCTCTTGGACATACAGTACAAGAATATAAGGGCGAACGATATTATCTTCAGTAGTAGCTAAGCTATATGGTCTAAACTCTATGATACACCGGCAAATGGGAGAGGTCTGTCGCGTCCAAATTTATGCACAGTCGATAGGCCCTAATATGAATCCAGCGGTGTGGTGACGCCACACCTTTTTCGAGGCGTAGTCAGCGCCGTTGTGCTCGATTATTCGTCATGCTTTTCCTCGCACTTAAGCGCACACCGGTTCGTAGTGATGAGTAGAATTCGAGCACTTGAACATCCAAAGTTCTACTCGGACCTTGGAAACATTCAACCAAAGTATATGTCAACCGCGACGGCTTTTCGGTTCCAAGCCACAGTGCCACTGCCACTCTAGAATGATGACTTTTTCTGTGTTGCAAACGTACTTGGGGAAGCATAATGAACGAAACGACTATTCTTTGACGGAATTAAATAGAATTACGGTTGGATCACATTCATCGTTGGAATAAAAAGCGAGTTTGTACTACTCTACAGTGTTTTTTTTTCGGCGAGAAGGTCCAGTCTTTCGCCCTCGAAACTCACTCCACCCTGTTTGACTGGGTGTGTGGATCACCGACATTCTTTTGAAGCTTCTGACACAGTTTTTGCTCGCAAAACAGTACAGTCACTCGATATTTTCCGCATACTGCTGTGTCGTGGTAGTCGGGTGCGCATTTGCTACTGGAATATGAAGAAATCTGGTGCACCCCATCCGGGCCTTTGTTGGGGGATGGCGAGGTTGGTTTCATGGAACTCGTAGGGCGGTCTCCCAGGGTTCATCAACTGCAAGCCGAACGTTAAGCGCCCGAACCAGACTTCTCCTAACTGAGAGGTGGGCTTCTTTGTGCCTGGCTTACTGCCTCATCTCCGACTTGAGCCAATACCGGCAAGGAGACAGTGTTTAAACCAGTCAATCGTAGATCATCATGATTGATCACGTTAGGTTTCGCGTGGCTAGAAAGATTGAGGGCGCATTGGCTAGATTAATGAGAACCTGCTTTGAGGCACGCATTTGCACCAATCTACACATTTTCAGTCCGAAGTTTCCCAAAGCCCTTCGTTAAGCCATTCTCAGATTATTTTGACTACTTTTTAAAGAGACGCAATAGCAATTTGATCCCGCAACCACAAGGCCAAATACACGCGGCAAAAGTGACAACTTATGCCTGATTCACTCGCATATATGCATCAAGCCACCTAAAATTATCCATTAGAAACAGGTATGGTATGCGTCTTCAGTTACACCTAAACGGTAAGCAGGAGTTGGGCTGCTTGAACCCCAGACTTGTCTTTTTGAAACTCGGATCTCCCATTTTAAGTTGTGTCAAACTCTCTACTGATTGATACTTCAAGCATTCGTGGAACTGTCTGACTGCGAAGACCTGATAGGCAGGTCAGTCGATCGATCTAACCAGGACAATTACTGGGTTGTTGTTCGAGGAGTTAACCAAACCTATCACATCGCCCCATCGTGAAAATTCAGACAGATGTCCGGAGTTCAAAATCCGATATGACCATGGGTATTCGCTAATACGAGCGAAACTCGAGTCCAACACCTTACCCCTTTGGTGTGGGCTCACCGGAATAACTGCGTCGGGACAAAAGAATGAATTCCAACGAGGGATTTCGCTAAGTCTCCCTTAAGAACAGAACTGGTGTGCCAATGAATGCGGTTTTCAGGGTTCTAAAACTTTTTTGATCAACTTTAGGAATTTCCGAGCCCAGCGGCTAGTCACTATATAAAAAAGTGCTGCATCAAACGAATGCGTAAAAGCATTACATCGATAGATGATGACTGCGGATATCGTATCGCTTAAACCGGACAGCTGAGCCAGCTCTGTCCTTTTAAACAAAGTTTATTATGTGTTCCGCCAGCAGCGGAACTGAAATGTCTTCAGGCGTTTGATAACCGTTGTTTCAGGACTGTAGCTAGTGTGG